AAAATGAGAGAAAATTAAAATTGAAATTTGAATTTTTGGGATGATACAATCTAAAGAGGAGATAGGGTAGCGAACAATCCACCTTTTCTTTTACATAAGGAAAAATAAATTGCAAATTGGAAGACTAGTTGGAATCGAAAGAAATAAGAATTTAGGTAACGATTGAGAGATTAGTGGACTTATACTTAGATCCCTTAAGCTTTGAATCAATTTAAAATCCAATTTCTTTAACTAGGGTTGAAGCACAACTCACAACTCTTTGCCAAAACTATGAGTTTACCCCTAGGTTTTAGGAGTCTGGTAGCGAGTTAAGTTGGATCTGTAGATGTTTGAGGGTTAGTGGAAAGATACTTAATTGAGATTAGACACTTTAGGACACTTCAAGTTTAAACTAAAGTGCAGACATCCTAGATCTTAGAAGCACAACTTAAGAGATAGTTTATCATCCTAATTTTCAAATGACCCTAAGAAATCCAAACATCTAACCTCAGATTAGAAGATAAGTAGGACACTAGGCATGATGGTGCACTAGATTGTGACTCATGACTGATTTAATTAAATCAAATAATGAAATTCTTACCTTAACTTGACCAAAACTGAAACCAAATGCTCTGGGATTTGAGTTTGTCCTACACTCAAATCCTCCTGGCAATTGGGGACATTCCAGTGTCACATATAAAATTCTTATTCTTGATTCTTTATATGTGGTATGGTATTTCATTTTATTTGTTTATCTTTTTCCCTGCGATTTACCTGTTTCTATTAAGTCTTTTTCAGGTCATACTTCCCTCTTTACACAGCACATAATAGCTAAATTTAAAGGAGCAATGAACCTCTCAGGTGTACAGGTTTAATTTACATTACAGCATTTTATTTTAAAAGCATGTTATATTATTTTCATAGCCTGTTATATTGCTTCCCTAGCACATTATGTTCTTCTTTCAGCATGTTATATTGGCTGTTCTTCTAAACCAGAAGGTGCTACTACGAGGAGTTTGGAGCGAACATCGTGGACATCGCGACGAGGAACAATTTCCAGGTGGATCTGCCGCAACGAAACATCTTCACATCACATGAACACATTCACGTCACCTATTATTATCTTTAGTTTAAATAACAACTCATAGGATCATTTCTTTGAGCTTTTTGTACAACTCTGTTGTGTAATTATGAGTCCTAACGCATTAGAATTCCGAGGTTACCGTTCGGTACGGTGTAAATCCTCTTGTCTTTTAGGTTATATGCACAGTCTGACGTTATGCAAACATAAGTCCTAAGTCTTAAATAATTTGCAGGATTGAAATATCAAATAAACATCATTTCAAAGACATAAAGCCGAACAATAGGATAGTTGGGACATCTCTGGGGTTTCTCCTGGTGATATCCCCTACTTTTCTTCCCTTTAGATTCCTTAAATAATTGTTCCTATTTTGAGTCATTCCTATTTGATTTTTCTATGTCCAATCGTGAAAACCTAAACTTTGAAATCTTGAAAGCAAAACCACCTGATCTTAATCGAGAGTTTTCTTAAGTGATTTTGATCGTTTAAGATGTAATTAACTATAGGGGTTTGCCTCTATAGGGAACCAAGAACCCAGATAAAATAAATCCTATCTAATTTTTATATTAGATAGGGGAACTTGTTGGCCTTTTTATAAAATATTTCGCAAATCAAAACGGATGTCACAATTTTTTTAGTCTAGGTGATTGAATCTCTATTACAAGTGACATATTTATTCTTCGGGATAAGTGTATTACTTGTAGTATTGTATTCAATCACCTAAACTATTTAAAAAGTGAGACTCGTTTGGTCTCACCTATTTTAAAATTAAAATGTTATTTTTTTTTAAATAGAAATGGTCATATTCATATTTCAATTATTTTGAAAATCACAAAATTATTACTTTTTTTTTAATCATAAAGTTATTTGAAGTAATAAAGTTAAATTAAATAAAAGATTTTTAAAAGAAATAAATAATAAATAATAAAACGGCCGACACCCACCTGCCCTTAAAACCTATCATCGATATTACGGGTGGCAATATTTCTACTACTTCACTACCGCCTCATCAGGTCGAGCAAGTTGTTCATGTTACTCAGGCTTATGAGGATCAAGATGTGCAACAACCTATACCTGTCCGACCAACTTTGGAATCTATTGATCAGATAAGTCAATCATCGGATGAGAAATGACAGGTCTACACATCTAGAAGTAAGAAGAAGAATGGAGACCTATTTGAGCTTAGAAATCTGATGGATGATACTTTAGTTACTTCGGGCAATGGTAGTCACCTTACCAATTTGCTATTCACCTCACTTCCAAGAACTAGAGGCAGTGAGAGGACTAAAGTGGGACGTCCCTAGCACTTTTGTGCCCTTTGGTGGTTTTTGATTTTTTACCTTTATGTATCTTTGTTTTAATTGAGATTTGTGTGTGTTGTATTATGTGAGTTGAGTTTTCTTTTAGGTCCTCTCACACAACCTTTTTATATCTTTTCCGCTTTAGGAATTGATATTTGGCAGAGGCCCAAATATCGATTTCGCATGCGCTTTTTGGCCCCATGATGAGATCCCGCGTCATGTGCCTAAACTTCCAGAGCCCCCGTGCCACGATGTGATCGAACACTTGACCTGAAGAGACTTACAGTGACCCAGCCACCAACATGCCAAGACTTGCAACACACACACTCTCTCTCTCTCTCTCTCTCTCTCTCTCTCT